GTATACTTGGTTTCTGATATAAATTTTTCCTCTAAGAGGTCTTTTACAGCTTGCTCGGTAGCCACCATTTTCTTTGGGGACTGTCGTCGTCTTCGTTGGGCAACTGCTCTGACAGCGGGGTCAATGGTGAGATGGTGACAGGTCACCTCAGAGTCTAGTCCGGGCATCTATGCGGCGCTCCACACAAACAGGTCTACATTATCCTGGAAGAATGCTCTCAGTTGTTTCCTTGCTAGCTCGGGGAGGCCGACTCCAATATTCACTCCTTGTCGAGGGTCGTCATCGAGTGGGACAAGCTCGAATTCTCCATCTGGGATGGGGCGCATTGGATGGGCAGCTTCGCTACTACGGGACGGGGTGCTCGAAGGTTACTGGACCTCCTTTCCCTTTGCCCTATGAGTCTTCTAGTCGTCTTCAGAGAAGCGGCTTTTGAGGCCGATGGAATCGACGCGAGGGAGCAGATTTGCTTCGTCGGAGCTGCTGAGTAGAGGTGACTGGGCAGGAGTCTTTGGTCTAAAGGCGATTGCATTCAGTCCTTTTGACGCTGCTTCAAAACATCTCCTCGCAGCTTCTATGTCCCCGTGTAGAGTTGCAACGAGGCCTTTGGAGGTGTAATATTTCATCTTCAGGTGTACCGTTGAAGGCACGACCACCAGTTCGGCTAGAGTTGGTCGCCCGAAGATGCACTGGTATAGTGACGGGCAATCTATCACCAGGAATTGTACTTTGATTGATCTGGCCGTCTCTGCGGATCCGAAGGTCACAATCAGCTAAACATAACCCCAGGACTTTGTCACCGGTCCATTGAAACCTTGTAGGTCAAAGCCCACGTAAGGAGTCAAATGTGATTTGTCCAGCTGCAGAATGGAAAACAGATGGGAGTACATGATGTTGACGGAGCTGCCTTGATCAACGAGGATTCGTCGGGCCTCAAAGTTCACCATCTGATCCCTGACGAGCAGGGGGATGCTGGTTTCAGGGGCTCCACCGAGGAGCTCCTCACGGTAGAAGCAAATTAAGACAGACTCTCCCCTGATCCTATCGAGGGTGGAGTTCCAATTTGAACTGCTGCTGATGAGGTGCTCAGATTTCCTCTTGGCGGATCCTACCGTCACTCTGTTAAAACCTCCTCCAGAGATGACCATGGAGGAGGGGAATGTCTCCCATGGGCTATGTGCGGCAAAATACGGAGGGGCGGTGAGTCCCTCGGGAACGCATAAATCTTCAGGTCGTGAGATGCTCATGGAGACCTGTAGGTTAGTTTCTCCGGAGGAAGGTGTTCCTTCCTCGACCTTCTGAGCTTCTTGGGCGTCTGGTCGAGGAGCTTCCTTTCGCTTGGCAAACTGCTTCAGATGCCCGTCCCTGATGAGTATATCAATGGCATCTTTCAGGTGGATGCATTCTTCTGTCGTATGGCCATGGCTCTTATGGAACCGACATTATTTTGACTTATTAGTGTTGGGTTTGGCCGGTATCTGCTTTTGGAACCGGACCCCTGCTTGGCAAAATTCTGAGTTGGCGCACTTAGTGAGAATCTTCTCCCTCAAGACTGTCATGGAGGTGTATTTGTGGAACCTGCCTGAGGGCCTCTTGTTGTCCTGGGTCTCGCGGGGACGGTCTTCTCGTTTTTTATCTCCTCTACGGGATGTCGAGGGCTCGTCAATCCTGTTTGGACGGGCATTCTCCCTGTGTCTGGACTCACGAGCAAAGGTGGCAGTCTATTTCTCCTCATATAGAATGTACGATTGGGGTTTGAGGAGAAAAGCATCTAGTGTTGCTGGGGGACGGAGGCCTATAGCTTTGGCAAAGTCTGTGCGGGGACGGAGCCCGCGCTCTAGCAGGAACCTTTTCATGTCATCAATGGTGGAGACTTGGATGACCTCTTTATTGAACCTTTCAATGTAGGCTTGTAGGGGTTCGTCCCTGCCCTGAATGATGGCCTCGAGGGAGGCTTCGGTCTTCGGATGTCGGCGAGAAGCCATGAAATGTCTGGAGAAAAGTCTCCCCAGTTGTCTCCACGAGGTGATGGAGTTGTTAGGGAGTCCTTTGTACCAGGTCATTTCCCCCTTCCTGACTGTGGTTGAGAATAACATGTACTTGATATCGCCCCGGACGCTGCGATAGTCGAGCAGCGCATTAATGTTTCCGATGTCCTCGTCAGGGTCGGTTGTTCTGTCGTATGTGCCTAAAGAAGGGGGTTTCTCTAGTCCCTTTGGAAGGCGCATGGCTATGACTTCCTAGGACAACGGGCCACGAGGCTCGTCGTCGCTGCTGCTGTTGGTCCAAGAGGGGGAGCGGAAGTCACGTCTATAGGTGGGACGGTGGCCTCGTCGCGGAGACAGGGTTTGTGCTTGGCCCTTGGATCTGGGTGGCGAACATGGAGATTCTACCTGGTGTCCTCTTCGGGTCCTCTTAGGTTGCGGGGACTGCTGGTTTCGTCGAGAAATTTGGTCGCGTTTGTGGACGGTCAGGGTCTCGGGTTCCGGAGGCGTTTGACAGTTCCTCTTGCGTCGGGGAGGGGGACTCTGTCGCTGCAAACGTTCTTTCCTCGGTGGAGGAGATCTTGGACGACGGGATTCTTCCAATGCTTCAATCCTCGCGCTCTGGTTGAGGATTAGGAGGTTGGCTTTGTTAAGAAACTCGAGGAAGGCCACCATGGTCGGGTCGGCGTTGGGCGGAATTGGTAGGTGTTGCGGGACAAGTGGGGCTTCGTCGTGATCTGCACGAACATGGGATGGAGAAGCTGTGGCTTTGTCCCTTCATCGGAGGATGTCTCCGCCATGAGAGGTGGAGGCCCATTCAGCATCAGTCTTGCTGACGGGGAGGAAAGCAGAGTTATGAGCATCAAGATTGTTGTCACGGGTAGCCATGATCAAAAAAATTGAAGAATTGTTTTGGTCTTTTGTTCTTATGAAGAGAGAAAAGACGGGGATAACAAGTTTCCCACAGACTGCGACACTAATCTGACTGAACGGTCAGAATCTGAGATGGGCCAATGACAAACGTTTGTGATGCTGGGTATGAAAGAGGAGAAGGGAGTGTACCTGCAAGGCACTCCGATGCTAAAGTAAGAAAACGAGCAAGTACATAATATGTGTGTTTCAAGGTGAGAAATTGGATACCTGACCCCCTCAAATGAGAGGGTTTTTATAATGCCCCCAGCGCTTGGTCATTGGTCCCTATTTTTGGGGGGAGATAATTGTTTTCCGAAGGATAGGTAACTTGCCAGAAATAGCCGTTGGGACGGGCAGACGTGCCCATAACTAGCCGTTGGCACGGGCATGGGTGCAGTTATGGGCACAAGCGTCTTGACTGTTTCTGGATGGTGGAACCGAGCGTTACGGGCAGAGACTGACGGGGAAAGGTGCCTCAGGCCAAGGGCAGATTGGGCAACCTCCCCTGTATGAGGGGCTAAAAAGTAAACTTTTCACCAAAAAGGTTGGACTTAGGCAATTGGGCCGTTCTGGGAGTAGAAGTGAATTGGGCCATGCCTAACCATTGGTCCAGCCCGGAACACTACTGTTTCCACCATTCTTATCAATCTTGTGCAAGAATTCACTCAGATCTCACCAAATACCCGCGTTTCCCAATCTCTCATAATAAAAAAATGTGATTCTGTTACGGTTTCGAATTTTAATTCACTGTGAATTTCATAACCAAAATCAATCACGCACACCTCACGTTCACTCGTGTTTCCTTTGGTGTTTTCCGTTGATTCAAACCAAAACTCTAAATACCAATTGTTAGAGCACAAGATTGAAGATGAAGAAGATGATAGAAGAGAAAAATAGAAAAGAGAGAAAAGTTTTAACTAACTTTATGACAAAAAAATAATTACACTTCTTAATCTGTTACAACTGATAACTCAATTTATATATACACAATTAAACTAAATGAAATTCAAGTTTAATTACACCTAAATAAAACTGAAATCAATTACGATCTAAGCCTAATTCGCTTATATTATGAAATTTTTATTGTAACATGTGTGAAAATTTAACTCTTAAAATATTTGAGTTTATTCATAATATCTTCTTTCTCTAAAAGTTACAAAATATTGATTGTGAATTGACCGTTTTAAAACAATTATATGGTTTATGCATCCAAATATTCAAATCCCGTTAAGTAAGAATTTGTGTAAACTAACAGCAAATACAGAAGTTGAGGGAAAATTCAAGTATTAGTGATTAAATAATTCTTGTTAGTTTTTAAATAATTTTTTATTCAGTAAACTTTAATATTGTGAAAATAAACATTTTTTATTCACCTAAACTACCTTCCTCCTCATTTAAATAACTAGCAAATCTACTATATTTTCCTACCATTTTCTTTTGTTTCTCTACATTATTTCCATCCTAAGACAAAGTGTTAAAAGGGGGACAATGAAGTGTTGCTTTTGCCCAACCAATGATTTTACTTTACCCCTACAAACTACAGTTATAGTTATGAGTACTTTACCACCAAAGTTGCACACACCACAAGCATAAATATAGAAATAATATGCTATTATCTAGCTGTATTCATTACTAGTCCTTTCCATTTTCTACACATAAAATTTGTAGTCAAGTGCTTCATACTCAATCATACAGACAAAGCCTGTTCTTTGATCTGATCTCTGCTAAATTCCAAATTAAACCAATCCACTCCACACTCCATAGTGCTCCTTCCTCTCCTTTTTCTTTCTAATTTTTATGCATGTCTACACTTTCTTCCATGAGACTCTTTCTTTATAATTACATTATTTTTTAATTAGCCTTATGTTAGATAAAAATAAAAATAAAAGGTCACAATCACAAAACTAAGTATCAAAGCTTTAATATTTGACAACCTCAAACTCTCATATCAGAACAACTCATTTCCTCTGACACTTTCTCATGTTCTTGTCCTTGTTCCATCACACTCTCACTTTCTTCTTCACACTTCTCCCTCTTTATAGGAACCAAACACAAACCATTCTCAACCTTGTCTCACAATTTTGATCCTAAAAAGCTTTTACAAAAATGGGTAATCAAAAACTTGAAACCCATCATCAATTTTACAACCACCATCAAAAAAACACATTCCTTCCAATGCTATGTTCCAAACCCTCCATCAAAGAAGTGAATCTCCCAAGATGTAGAATCAACCAACCATCTTCTTGCAATGACCCTTTATCTCCAAGAATAGGTTGCATGGGTCAAGTCAAAAGGAACAACAAAATTGCTGGATTTCCATCTTCACAATACAAACTACTAAGTTTCAACAACAAAACCATTTCTAGTTCCATTATTTCATTTTCACCAGTTGTGAAATACTCCAAACTCAAAAAACTTTTCTCTGGTAAGAATCTTATTGGCACCCCCTCTATTACTTCTACCACCACCATAACCAAACAAAGAGTTATAGGTAATAATAGTAAAATTCAAAAGTGTGTTAGGAATGAGAATGTTGTTGTTGGCATAAAAATTGATGAAATGGATCCTCCTTTGCCTGTGATCAAGAGAGTGAATAAGATTGATGAAGGAACCAAAAGTGATAACAGTCTTTGGAAAAGAAGATCAGGATCAAGTGGTGTTCCATTGAGAAGTTTACAGGTTCAACAGATTCAACAGATTCAACTTCAAACTCCAAAGATTTGTATTCAAACTACAACTGTTTGATGAGATTAATTTTCACATGAGATATAGATCTAGAGTTTTTTTTTTTCTTTTTTCTTTCAGAATTTTTACTTAGATCAGAATCATATATAAAGTAAAATGTTTATTCATCTTCTTTTTTTTTTCTTTTTTTTTTAATTGAGTTTTCTGAGCTTCCAATTATGAAGAATTATGTTTTGATTTCTTGGAACATCTCACATGGGGTGATGCAGAACATTGTGATCATATTTGTCTATATTTTTCATGAAGAAAATGGAACACAGGTCAAAGTCAAATTTTTACAAAATCAATGTTGTTGAATTAATTTATTTTTTGTTCAAACAGTGTGAATAATTAAAAATTAGTCTGAAAATCTTATACATGTTACAAGTCACTTTCACCACTAGACCATTTAAATATATACACTAAATCATTTGAAAATTACTTTTTTTTTTTAATTAGATTGATGTTTTTATTTTCTATACCTATATATAGGAAAAACATAATTTTAGTATAACTTTTTTTTTTTAAATATATCATTTTCAATTTTTATTTTAAATTTTAACTTTTTTTTAACAAATGGTATATGTTATTATTTTTTATACTATTATTTATTATTATTATTTTAAAAAGAATAAATAATAAAATAAAAATTAGTTAAAAATAATAATATAATTTATATTTTGTATGTGAGTATTATAAAAAGCGGACAGACGAACACGTTAGTGCCTGTATGGACGCTATTATATATTAAGACAAAATATAGTGTTTTGGTGTAATTTATTTCTCTTTCAATTTTACCATTACTTTAATGTATAACTTATTCAATAACTTCTATTAACTTTCTACATAACTTACTACCTAACTTTCAACTATTAACTTCATACTTAATTTCTCTTTAAAATTAATATTAAATAAAAAATATTATTTAAACTTTTACACGTGTATATTAAAAAAGCGGACAAACGTGTCCATCTGAATGCTAGCTAATAGAGATTAAAAATAATACTCTCTCAATATAAAATGATTTTAAATCAATGTAGTCATGTGATTTTAATATTTTAAAAATAAAAATATAATTTATCAAAATACACATTTATTATTGATTGACAGGGTAAAAATATTTTATTGTAAGTTGGATTTTTTTTCTCTATTATAAAAGGGCTTCTGATTAATTTAATGTTTTTAACATTATTTTATTATGAAATGCTCTTATTGGAAAATATACATAAATAATTATGAAAGGGTGTTTATAATAAGATATAGAAATTAAGCAAGGTTTATTTGAAAGAGTGCAGCGATTGTTGAAAAATGAGGAAATTAATTTGGTTGGTGCATCATTTATTTCCAAATGCAATGTAACAAAATAGTATTCAAGAAAGATAGATAATATATAACAATAACATGATGTAAGCAATTGGTATTATTTTTCAATAGTTATAGTTAGTTAGGAGGGTAAGCCAATTAAATTAACTTACACAACAAGTTAGTGAATTTAAGTCCTTTTGTTGGTAAATATACCTATATTAGTTTTTTATTATTAACTAAGATAAAAGGAGTAAAAGAGAAGAAGGAATATAATTGAAAAGAAGTGCAATAGGTATGATTTAGGTTTCTTTTATTATTATGCTATGCCTACCAAAATGGGAGGGAAATGAGAAAGGCCCAAACATTATCATATTGTTTTTCCATCCAAATTGGTTCCTTCCCACCAAGAAAAAGACCATAATTATTCTAGCTTTCTCTTTTATATTTTCCCATTTCACTAGAAATCTTGTAAATTTTGTGAATACTTATCTCTTTGTTTAAAATAAGTGAGATTTCATTTTAAAAAACAAATAGGTTGAATTACACTTACAATCCATCGAATTTGGACGAAGTGTGAATTTGATCACTCTTTTTTTTGGAATAATAATACCATTAATTTTCTTTAACTAAATATCATGCGAGCCTAGAGTTTTCAGAGAAGAAAATTTGAGACTTGTTTATTATAAAATGAATCTGATATTTTTATTGACGAAATTTAAATAAGAGACTGAAACTAGAATTTTAGAGATGTAGAATTAATTTTGAGTGATTTTGAGGTATTTGTTTTATCAAAAGTAGAATTGGTTCTACTTGAAACTAGAATTTGTAGCTTCTACTTTCAGAATTGATTATGAGAAATTTTTACACTGAAATTTATTATTTAACTTACATTTACATAAATGTATCCAAACATAAATCAATTCTACTAAAATCAATTATATCCAACTTAATTATGCTATAATCAATTCTGTTCACCGTCAATTCAAACACACCCAATTAACTTTTTACACTCAATCTCTTTTTAAAAAATATTTAAATAGATCGATGACAATCCCTTACATTGATATATCAAATTAGTCTCGTTTTAGATTTAATATCGATCATCTAAATTTTATTTTAGATTTAATATTATTTTTGGTTTTGTATGTTAATCTTTGGATTTATTTTAGCCCTTTAATTTAAAATAAAAAAAAATTATATTGATTTCTTAACTCTTTAAAAGAGTTATATTAGTTTTTATTTATTTAATTAGCGATGAAAAAATTTAAAAATTTATCGCTAAATTAGTTACTAGTTAGACGAAAATAAATTAATATGATATATTTTAAAGAGTTAAGAGATTAATATAGATATTTTTAAATTAAAGAACTAAAATGAACACCGAAATTACATATAAAAATATTTTATCATTTTTTAAGTAGAAGATCAAAACAAAAATTGCAAAATTAGCCACAAACAATACCATTGAAGAGGTTCAGAAACAAGAATCAAGCAAACTCGAGGAAATCCCATCACACTTTAAGTGTGTATTTTTGTGGAACAAATTAATAAATCGTTTATTATAAGCAACTCCTTAACCATAATCGAAGAGAAATTCCTTTCAAAAGTATTAAGATATAATAGGGACACACTTGAGTGAAATATTTTTTTACCTGTAGGACATAAACCATGCTTAGTGTATGCACAAAATTAATTTGGAAAAAGAATGCAAACCAATTATCCAACCCAACAATGAATTAATTTGGAAAAAGAATACAAACCAATACAAAATTATTTTGACATGTTTGGTTATTAGGTGCTTGAAATATTGTCACTTCATTCCTTTTTGTTTTTTTTCACTGCTATTCAGAATATCATCAGATTTCATAGATCTAGATTACTAAGAAAAGACTATGGTTCTATGTGTCGTGCGGGTTAAGATGTTGACATATGTAATTTAGTTGATGACCTAAGAATAAAGATAAAATAAACAAGAGCATCGTTACTGAAGAAAAAGATAGAAGTTATCAAAAAGCAAATCGAAGAAGGTTTATGTTGAGAGCTAAAATAGTCAAATGCAAAGATTAACATCGAACGGAACTCTGGGTTGTAAAAGCTCGTTTATCTTGTGCTTTAATTTGTATTTATCTGTTTTGGATCAATAAGGTATAATAAAGAAATATTTTTTCACAAGTCACTAAAGAAATTCACGCACACGCACGCGCGCGCGCGCGCACACACACACACACATATTTTACAAAACTTCATCTATTTTAAAACCTTTCTAAAAATCATTTTTGACCTCTGACTAGTCAATTAGGACACGTCACAACCAAATTAGTAAAGCAAAATATCACTCTCTAATAGATTATAACTTGTATCTAATTGATTAAGGAGAGAACTCGCCAACTAATCGATTAAGAATTATTTAAATTGATTAAGAATCCTTTTAATTGATTATGTTATGAATCTGGATAAGTTTTTTCCAGATTTGCTAGGTCTAATTAATTAGCATTTTAGGCCCTTAGTCGGGAGAGCTTCTAAGAAACGCGCAAAAAGTAGCCGAACACATATCAATAAAACACTCATAAAGAGCCAGTGACAATGAGCAAAGGGCCAAAGATGAACATGTATGCATAAATCAACACGCTTAATTTACTAATGTAATACCTTTAACACATTTTGTATGTGATAAAAAAGACTTTATATCAATAAAGGAGTAAAGACATTTACATAAAAAGATAGGGACAAATTAAAGTTCATTTCAAAGTGATGCCATAGTGGCCATGACAAATTATAAATTCATGTTACAACTCAAAAGTAGGGAACTTAAATAGGAGGCGTAGAAACAAAGGGGGCGATTTTATTGCCCACAAAATTTTGGTCAGGGTTGATTTCATCCTTGAATATCTTAATATCAAGGTAAAGAAGTTCAACTTGTTTGAAATAGTTCTCAAATGATTGATCAATACATGAAATGTTAGCATCCCCAACTTTTGTGTCTTCAAGTATGTATTCTTCTTCCATTCTGTCTTTAAGGAACCCTTTTTGTCTTTCAGAGTGTATTAAGCTTTGATGAGGGAAGCCTTCTTAGACTTCAAAGCATCATGGGCTTCAATAAGGGATTTATCGACCTTTGAAGTTGTATTCTCTTTGATAACAATTGCCTCTTGAAGCTTACTAAGGACAACCTCTTTGTGGAAAATTACTTGTGTTGTTTGGCTAAAAGATTCTAAAGCTCGTCCACCAACTCTTTAGCACAAAAAGAGTGGTAAAGTTATTGCCATGCTCATTAAATCTCTTATGTGTGTAAGGGTGTTCCTCGATGGCCTTTTAAGAAACACCGAGCTCTTTAAGGAATAATTTATATCCCTTCCCAAAGAAAATTAGGGAGTCAATGGTGAAGAGTATTTGTATATGATAAAGCGTTGTGACATCATCTCACAGTAGTGTCGCTCAACTTGGGAAAGTGATCAGATTCTAGAGTTTTTGTATATGATAAATCGTCTATGATATTATAATCACACTATAGAATTATGTGCTAAAAATCCTTGATACTCTTCTGTCCCTTATTCGCTAAGACAAATGGGAATTTGTAGGACGTGGATTCCAAAGAGAGCGAATGGAGCTCATTGCCCCCAGGTTCATCCTGTCTGGGTTAGAGTCTTTTTTTTGTTGTATTTTTTATAAAGGTCCACTGGTATCAATACTTTATCCTAACATCTTCATGTGAGTAG